TCTCAGTCATCCAGGTATATAACAACAAAAAAGGTTGAATCATGTCAATTAATGTGGTACTTCTACTTTTACTAGAGTACATTTTTGTCTGTTTATTTGTATTTTTACTTAAGTACAGTGTTTGAGTAATTTTTCCACCAATGACAATAGGGCACCATCACTCAATTGCGTACCTGTTTTACACCTGTTAATAAGCTAATATGTCTTTGCTTTTGCCACTCAGTTGTTAAAACATATTAGCCTGCTGAACTGGTTTCAGGTGTCCAGTGGACATCAGCATTTTTATCTTTACGCATCTGTCATATTTGCTTAATTAATGTACATTTTGTATTACATACATTTTCTCAATATTTGTTAAGATACTGCAAAGTGGTACACAACATTTTTATTCATTGATAGTAAATGTATAGTCCAAGAAAGTGGTATAATTTTGCAGAAAGTAGTTTTGATGTAATTTATTGATTACAGTTCCAACAATAGCCAAATGTGAAACAACACGGAGATCATTGAGCTTAGAGCGTGTGTGTGGAATGACTCCCAGCTACTGCCATATCACATTTCACCTCAATATTAGTAAAATATTTAAAGATATATTTACACATTGTTATGGTGTATGATAAAATTCACATGATGTGGCAGCCATCTTGAATTAAGATGACTGTAAAAGTTAATATCACTTGTATACGTAACTTTGCTGAACCAGATATCAAATGTAAAAGAAAACCATAAACGAACAGGTATCTCTTTTAAATGAGGCCTCGAAACTCAGTGAAGCTAACCTGCATAAATAAAGGTTGAATGAATAAAATACAAAACAGATATTTTATGAAACTTAAAGAAAATAAACATTATGTGTTTGCATATGAATATTTATACAGATGGCAAAAGTTTAACCAATATAAGTACATGGATAACAAAATGAACAAGTTAGCAAAAATAGACTCGATGTTAAAGTGACACAGTTGAACACTAGACAATGATGTGGTTCAACACAAAAGAAATGACATCAGATACCAGTCATGCTCACACTCAAAGCTAATTTAGAAAAAAAAATTACTGATCTACTTTGTTGGGCACCAACCCAATCCAGAACTGTACATTATCGTTTTTAATGAATATACTATTCTGTATAGATAGAAATTTAAACCTGCAGCCTTCTACTGTGAGGCATCATGTGTACCACTCTGCAGCCCAGGGAGGGGGGAAAATCAGAAACTGTAAAAAAAAAAAAAAAAAAAATGAACAGAAAAAAGGGCTGACAAAGATGTTTCAGTTGTGTTTTGAGGAAAACTGTTTTTTTTTTTTGCAAAAGTTGATTCAAATGTGAGGTGTTTTCCAGGAAGTCGCTGTCCTGCTCCTTTCCTCAAGGTCCGGTCAGCAGGTCTGTGTCCTCAGTCAGAACGTCTCCTGTCTGCAGAGCTCTCTGGACGTTCTGCCAGAAGACTCCTGGGTGTTGTGCAGCCTGAGGCCAGCTCAGGTAGGTGCGTTTCTTTACCAGCTTCCTCAGGCGGTAGTATGGAGACAGATGATGAGGAGGGATCTCCTCCAGAAACAGCAGGATCAACACATCCTTCTGTTCATCAAACAGGCGAAAGCTGCAAGAAGGCAGAAGAAAAAAAAAGTATTTTCTTTGGTCGCTAGTTGTTTTATATTCCTACATATTGGGTTGAAACGAGTCCGTATGCGTCCACAGGCAATGAAAGTTTAATATGAAATTTAAATATGTAACAATTATTAGTTTACTGCTAATTTTTCATACATGTCTAAAATTTTTGCCCAGTATAATTTTTGTTTTATACTGAAGACAAACAAGTTTCCACCTAACTTTAACAGGAATTAAGTGTCATTCAATTGCATCTGCAGGACCATGACAACTTTTCCACTCTGGACCACATTTATACCTTACTCTTAGAAAAAAAAAATCATATGGACAAATTAAATTTTTTTCATGAACGGCAGTGTTTTTGGTGTGCCCATAAAACTTTATACTTTTCTACTTTTCTGTTTTGTAAAACTGTATTTAAGCCAAACAGCGCCCCCACCTGGCCATCTGGATCTCTCTGGAGCACCATTCACTCTGCAGGTAGTGGCGGCTGATCACACAGATGGTCTTCCTGCTGCCATAAATAGCATCAGTGATGTTCTCCATGATGGGTTTACCTGTGGACACAACAAACAAGGTGTTTTAAAGCAATTTAAATATTATCCTCTCACATGAGAGGCTATGAACCATCCCTTATTTGAGCCATCCTATTTCTTTTATATCATTTTCAATATTTATTCCATCTGTTTCCTATTTTTATTTTACAAAGCTTTTAAAACAACTGTAACTTGTCATAGATTGCCGTCTTGTACAGAACTTTTAATTTCAGAACAGCAATAATAATTCACTGTACCAAAATCACATCTTCACCTTCATCTTCCAATCACTGATTTCTACGATGTCTGAACTGCCGATTCGGATTTTGGTCGATACCGATTTTGTTTTATAAGTGACACTGTCAGGGTTATAAGGTCACAATGCACCTTCAATTTTCCATCTTATTTTATTGAAAAACATACATCCTAGAAACAATACAAACTTGTTTTAACTGGCCATGAGGATAGTGCTCTGAAATATAAAGGAAGTTCAGATGATTGTTGTTAAAACTAAAATAATCTGTAAAATCGGTTTCTCATGCAAGTATCGGCCGATTTCCATCCATCCATCCATCCATTATCTTTTACCCGCTTCTTCCACTTTTGGGTCACGGGGGTCGCCAGTGCCCATGTCCAGCCATCACTGTATGAGGGGCGGGGTACACCCTGGACAGATCGCAAGTCCATCACAGGGACACATAGAGACAAACAACCATGCACTCTCTCACTCACACCTAGGGACAATTTAGAGTTACCAGTCAGCCTAACATGCATGTTTTTGGTCTGTGGGAGGAAACCGGAGTACCCGGAGAAAACCCACGATGCACGGAGAGAACATGCAAACTCCACCCAGAAAAGCACCCGGACCGGGGTTTGAACCGGGGACCTGCTCGCTGAGAGGCAGCAGCTCTACCAGTTGCGCCACCGTGCTGCCATGGCTGATTTCCATTATCCCAAAATTAAGGAAATCGGTGCACCCCTGGTTCAAAACAATGCACTGTTGATATTTTCTGGGTTGTTAATATAAAAGTTTGATATGGTTACTCAATTTACAGTTTACTTTAAGTTGATAATTAAAGTATTTGCCTGCAGTTTTAGCTCTGAGTCTCAGAAAGGATCAGTACTTTCTGGAAATGAAAAACGTTTCATTTTTCATCAAGTTTATCATCACACTTATTAGTCATTTACTTTATATCACACTCTGTTAAAGCTTATCTGCTGAATGCCCTCAGCATCAAGTGTGTGAAGTTTGTAACTTCCGTTTCTCAAACCCAGCTCCAGAACCAGTCACTGACCACAAACGTACTGTCTGTTTTTTTTTTCTCTGATAAGATTGCAAATGAGGTAATGGCTGTTGTATCAAAGCAAGATCTGTTACATGTGAAGATGTATAAATGGAGCTGCATTGCTCATGTTTTTTAGAGAACACACAGGAATTCTTGGGCTGCGTTTCCATTCCATGTGTTCTCTCCTTCTGCAGAAGAAATCAATAAATCTTACTCTTTTATTTTGATCAAGTTCTCAGTCTCAAAATGTATTAAACAATAGGTTTAAAAAACTCCACAGCACTATTACTGTATATATGAAACAAACAACAACATGTTAAACATTTTAAACAAAGTGCTACAGAATGATTTCAGTTTCTACACATTCCTGGCCTGGGACCTTTCTGGATGGAGTTTGCATGTTCTCTCTGTGCATGAGTGGGTTTTCTCTGCGTACTCTCCCACAGACCAAAAACATGCATGTTAGGTTAACTAATAACTCTAAATTGTCCCTGGGTGTGAATGAGAGTGAATAGTTGTTTGTCTCTGTGTCCCTGTGATGGACTTGTGACCTGTCCAGGGTGTACCCCGCCCCTCGCACAGACATGGACATGGGCACTGGCGACCCCCGTGACCCAAGATGGAATAAGCGGGTAAAGATGATGGATGGATGGCTCAATGGGATTTACCTGTCTAAATAAAGGTTGAATGAATATCTGTGTTTTGTGATTTTATTTAGTCCTTTAGTTCGTCTTATTATTAATCCTTTTGCGATTTATGTTTTATTTCGTCCTTTCCGTTTTGTTGTGCTTTCCTGTTCCGTTTAGATCTTTTGTGTTTTTGTATTCCATTGTTCAGTTTTCTTTTAATATTTTGTTTGTTTTGTTTCCCAGTGTTTCTTGTGCCGTTTCCTGATTTCTCAGTGCATGTTCAGTTAGTCTGCCACCCTCATCTGTTCCTAATTATCAATCAGCCCAGGTGTTCCCACTTTTGTCCCTCCCTCAGTTTGCAGCACAAATTATTTCGGATCACGCTGAATAAACAAAAAATAACCTGAACAGTGTGTTTACATGACGCGTTTTTATTCCGAACGGCCGTTTGATCCGATTACTTATGTCCATGTAAACAAATTGAGTGTCCAGTCAGCACCTCTGCAGTAGCTCATTGTGTTGGTTTTAACCATATGTCTGTCCTTCTTGTGTTTTCCTTGTGCTCTCTTGTACATACAGCAGTAAGCTTTACAGCAACATCATTTTTAATATAGTGATTTAAATACATTTATTTTTACTCAAGCTCCTCCTTGTCTGCCAGCATTTGGGTCCTATCCATCACATTTATCCATTGATAAAGCCAAAATAAATCAAGCATTTACCTGGTTGGAAGTCTCTGTGGTGCAGACAGAGTCTCCAGCCCTGCTCTCCCTCCAGAACTGGAAGCATCTCTCTGTAAACCCAGTCCTCATCGTGGACGTTGTAGGACACAAAGGCATCAAACTGATGAGGATCTACCTTCTTCCTCATCTTGTTGTCGTAAATAAAGGCCAGGAAGAGGTGGAAGGTGTAGGCTAGGTACCACCTCAGGAAGTGGTAGATGAAGGAGGTGAGGAGAGTCAGAACAACCAGACAAGTGCTGGAGATGAAGTAAGAGAAGCTGCCATCGTTCCAACAGGACTGGACATCAAAGTCTAGTAACAAGGTTCCTTGTTTGTCCACAGGAAATGAACATTTATACTGATGAGCATTAACCACCTGTATTTGCTTGTTTTCTTTGATCCACTGGATGAAACCTACGTTGGCGCATTCACAGGTGAACGGGTTATTGTCCAGGTCCAAGTATGTTAGAGAGGGGAGGGAATTAAAGATGGTCTCGTTTATCTCAACTATATTGTTGTCTGTCACTTTCAGGTATCTGAGAGCAGGAAGATCGGCTTGCTCTAGAAAATCCAAAGACGTGAGTTCAGACTCCGAAAAATCAAGAATCTCCAGGTTTGGAATGGGCAGAAACAGCTCAGGATCCAAATCGGACAAATCACTGCTTGTTATTGTCAGATTCTTGAGCTGTGGGTTGAACTGAAACGTGTCCACTTTTGGAGCATTAATGTAGATGTTCACAGCTTTAAAGTTTTCCAAATGTTTCATTGCATAAAACATTTGCATTGGTACATCAAGTGGGAGACCATAGTGATAGCCAGTGCAAATCACTGCGAGACTTTTCAAAGATTTTAAGTGAACGTAGGCTTCATAACTGTTTGAGCGAGGAACTTTGAATGTATCCACAAAGCTTAGTAGGATTGTAAGATTTTCTAAGTTCTGTAATCCCCTGTATGTAGGTTCATAATCCAGTGGAAAGGAGAGAGTAAGATCTTCTAAGTTGATTAGTCCTTGAAATGTTGCTCTCTTCACCCTTTGAATAGACTTTGATGCAACATTTAATTGTTTTAGGGACTGCAAGCTTTGGAAATTGCCGTTTTCCAGAATTGTTATGACATTCTGGCTTAGATCTAAGATCTCTAACTTCTGAAGGGAAACTTTGAAGGTGTCTCCAAACGTCAGCAGCAGATTGTTGCTCAAACCTAAAAGCTTTAGATCAGTTAGATGTTCAACTACACATTTATCCAGTCTAGTAATATGGTTGGTGTTCAGGTAAAGCTCTGCAAGATGTGTTGTGTTCACAAAATCCTCACAGTTCAACTCGGTGATTAGATTGTTATCCATATTCAAGATCTGTAGGAAGGTGAGACTCCTGATGTCAGGTGGAACTTTGGTCAGTAAGTTCATGTTCACATGCAGGGCATTCAGCTTTTTCATCCGTTGTAGTGAACCCTGTGGCAGCTCATTTATATGAGTTTTTTTTAAATTCAGCTCTGTCAGCTGAGAACAGGGCATCAAATTCCAAGTCAAATTGCTTAAATGGTTATAAAACAAATCCAGTTTCCTCAGAGTTGGTATTTTGCAGACTGTAGATAACAATCCCCCCTTAATCCACACATCTACATAATTTAATCTAAGGTGTTTCAGTGAGCTGAGACTCTGCAGGACTTTTTGGATCTCTTCAAATGAAAACACAAGTTGATTAACATTCAGTTGTGTTATGTTCCTCAGTAAAGTTTTGTCAGGAATGTCCCATTTCAGGGTATTTCGATCTTTGATTTTGGAAAAATCTAAAATTTGGAGGTAAGGAAAGACTGGTGTCGTGATGCTGAATCTTTCCAGGTTATGACCAGAAACATTCAATACTTTAAGACTTGAAATACTACCCAACATGTCTTTGGTCTCAAAGGAAGAAAATAGATTGAATCGAAGACAAAGCCTCTGTATTTTTGGTAGCTGTAAGATGGGTTGAATGTCACTGACTTTTTGGAGCATGTTGTTTCCTAAATCTAGACTCTGTAGGCTAATTAGGAACTGGACAGCTGAGGCATCAATGGACTGAATCTTGTTGTCACTGAGGTCAAGCATGATGAGGTTGGACAGACCTTGAAACATGTTGCCAGTCACAGATGTGAGATTATTATTGCCCATTATAAGTGTTTCCAGTAAAATCAAATCAGTGAAAGGTGCATTGTTCTCAAAAGCAATTTGATTGTAACCAAGATCCAGATGTCTCAGCTTTGACATGCCCCTGAAGTGGTCCATGTTAACTTTTTGAATTTGATTTCTATAAAGTTGGATTGAAACAGCATCTCTGGGGATGTCATCAGGAATAGTAATGAGATTTCTGGAGGCACAATCCAAAGAAACATCAACATCTGGAGATTCCTGATAATCTAGAGTGCAGTTTTTTAGTGAATAAGCCAGTGAGGGGTTAATAAAAAGTAGGAGAAAGAGAAGTTTTAGAACGTAGCGTGAAGAGAAACTTCCCATCCTGTCAGGTTATTGTGAGGTTGTTCCTATTGTTCAGCCATGATCATCTGTAGAAGACAAAGACACAAAATGAATTTTTAAACATTAGTCAATACTTTTTGTCCATTTACTTTTTCGTTAAAAAAAAAAGTATTTGTATTCAAAGCTTTATTCAGTGTTCTGTCTGTGAAGAAAACGTGTCAGGATTAGTATTTTTTCGTTGTTGGTTTTTTTTTTTTGGTTCTTTGTGTTTAGTCTCTTCAAAAAGGGGACCGGAGGGTGAGGCATCACTCTCCTTAGCCTCCTGCTAAGGTCTATTCAGGGGTACTGGAGAAGGGAGTCCAATCGTTGGTTGAACCTCAGATCCAGGAGGAACAATGCAGGTTCCATCCTGGCCGTGGAACACTGGAGCAGCTCTTTACCCTCATTAGGGTCCTCAAGAGGTCATGGGAGTTTGCCCATCCAGTCTACATGTGTTTTGTGTACTTGGAGAAGGCATTCAACTGTGTTCCTTGAGATGCACTGTGGGGTGTGTGAGTATATTGGGAGCCCGTTGCTATGGGCTGTTCAGTCCCTAAGCGGTGCAAGAGTTTGGTTTGCATTGCAGGTTGTAAGTCCAACCCCTTCAGTGTGGGAGTTGGACTAAACCAGAGCTGCCATTTGTCACCAATTTTGTTCATAATTTTTATGGAGACAATTTTTCGATGCAGCCAGCGGACGGAGGGATTCCAGTTCGGTGGCCTCAGGATTTCATCTCTGCTCTTTGCAGATGATGTGGTCCTGTTGGCATCATCGTGCCGTGATCTTCAGTTCTCACTGGAGTGATTCACAGCCGAGTGTGAAGCGGCTGGGATGAGAATCAGCACCTCCAAATCTGAGGCCATGGTCCTCAGTCAGAAAAGGGTGGACTGCTCTCTTCAGGTCGAGGGTGAGGTTCTGCCTCAAGTGGAGGAGTTTAAGTATCTCAGGGTTTTGTCCACGAGTGAAGGAAGAGTGGAGCATGCGATTGACAGATGGATTGTTGCAGCATCTGCAGTATTGCAGACTCTGTACCAGTCCGACATGGTGAAGAGGGAGCTGAGCTGTAAGGCAAAGCTCTGTTTACCGGTCAGTCTATGTTCCTACCCTCACCTATGGCCACGAGCTCGAGGTAATTACTGAAAGAATGAGATCATGGATACAGGCGGCTGAAATGAGTTTCCTCTGCAGGGGAGCTGGACTCTCTCCCTTAGAGACAGGGTGAGAAGTTCAGTTATCCAGGAGAGGCTCCGAGTAGAACCGCTGCTCCTCCATATCAAGAGGAGCCAGTGGAGATGGTTCGGATATCTGGTAAGGATTCATTCAACCTTTATTTAGACAGGTTAATCCCATTGAGCCTTGAGAACTCATTTACAAGAGAGACCTGATTTCAACAAAGAATGGTGACAATAGTGGACAACAACGACAACAATAGACAGTTATAAAAAGGCATACAGATTTTTATTTTTTTTTTCTGGTAAGGATGCTCCCTGGGCGCCTCCCTAAGGAGGTGCTTCGGGCATGTCCGACTGTGAGGAGACCTTGGGGAAGACCCAGGACACGCAGGAGAGACTATGTGTCTCGGTTAGTCTGGGAACGCCTTGGAGTCTTCCCAGAAGAGCTGGAAGAGGTGGCTGCTGCCCCATGACTCAACTTTGGAACAAGCAGAAGATAATGGATGGATGGATGGATGGATGGATGGGTGGATGGGTGGGTGGATGGGTGGGTGGACGGAGGGTGTTTAGTCTTTGTTTGCTAAAAAGTAAGAGATTCAGAGTCCTGGGACGCTGAAATGTGTGAACTAAGAAAGTTAGGTAATAAATAATACATCAAATTTTAAAAGATGAAATTATGCTGCCCCTGTTTTAATTGCTGAGGAAAATACTGTAATGCACTTTACTACATTTATCTTATTAGCTTCCTTGGACACACAGATTTCTACAGTAGCTATGGTTTACATTAAAAAAATCTATATTTTGTATTTTATCAAGACACCTTTTCAGTTGCTTTTCAAGACTGAAAAAAACAAACTTTTTGTACAATTTATTTGCATTTATTCAAACTAAAGAAGTAAATTGACAGTTTTCTGATCACACAAATAACTATCTTTGCCCTTTTACCAGTTTCTTATAAATACACATGAATTATAAAGTCGTTCTGATACTCACAGATGCAGATTTTCATGTTGCATTCGTCTCTGTTAAACAATGAACTGATGTGTTTTTACACTTCCCCAATACTTCTCTGCAACATGATGTTGCATCTGAATGGAGCTACTTCTTTTTTTTTTTTTAACGAACAACAAAAATAATATATCTGTTTTAAACTGATAGTGATCTGGCAACACTTTGACTAAACAGAATAGCGGAACTCTGCACTTCAAAACTGGAACTGCTTTAATTATTCTGCTTTTTACACTGAGAACTTAAAAAAAACATGTTTTTTTTTTCAGAAGACTCCGACTTTTTTAAATTTAGACGCCCCCACCACCACCACCACCCTTTGGTTGGCACTTGTCTGCTGTCAGTCATGCACTACAATCATTAATCTTCTGCTGAGTTAACTGACTGAGTGTGTCCGAAGAAACAAGACACTGATGTAAAAAATAAAATGTTTACTGGAATGCATAAGATAATTATTGGCCACAGTTATTGTATTGTAAACAAACAAGTACTGTACATCCAGTAGAATGTAGCATTTTCTGCAGCATAATGACAAAATCCTGTCGTCGTTCAAAAAACATTGAATGACAATAAAACTATTCAAAGACTCTGTAAGTTTGCAACGACTTCTGTAATCCACAAAAGGTTAAAGATTTTTCTTATTGATATTGTGTGAACTTAGAAAATATTGATATTAAAGCATAACCATTTTATGATTTGATTGTATATTTCAGAAAGGTTGCAAATGTTTGAATTTATGTTTTGCTTTAGCTGCAAAGCCTTTGTTGCATTAAACAAATAAAAAGTACTGCGCCGACTGACAGCACGTCAGCGTCGCCGTGCTTCATTTGTCTGCATGAAAAATAATAAAAACTTTTTTTAAGTACCTTTTATTTATCCCAGTAGTCTCATTGAGTCACAAGAACTCATTTTCGAAACATTTGCTAAGAAAGTTGGAGAGAATTCTCCCAAAATATATCATTAATGGATTTTATTTACAGTTATTGCAGCTAAATTACTGATATACAGTCTGTAGGCTATTTAGTTAGGCTTTTTAACATCTCCATCTGTTTTCATTATTAATGAGTAAAATATTTAAACTTATAGACTCAGAATACAATATTATTTTAAATGTGTAGCAGATATGTTTATCCTAAGCTGAAAAAAAAAATCACATTTAAAGGATTAAAAACATTAACTATTTGGGTACCACTTTACAATAAGGCTCCCCTTATAGATGGCTACTAAATAATTAATAGATACGTTATTAATCCCTTTATAAACACTTTATAAATCATTAATAACTGCTTATTATGCATTAATTAAGGGTGAGAGAGGCAAAACTGAGCAGTTTCTTGCCAAATAATGATCCAAATCTGCCACCTCTATATTTCATCTAGAGTTGTTATATTAAACATTTCAGTAAAGTTACTACCTTGTAAGCACAAAAGCATTTGTAAACCTATTTTTTTTTTAGGATATAATATTAGTTGTAGATTCATCCATTCAACCTTTATTTAAACAGGGTAGTCCCATTGAGCCACAAGGACTCATGACCAGGATACTTATAATGCAGTGATAAAGTACCATATTATATGCTAAAGAAATAGGTTTACAAATACTTATTGTGCTTACAAGGTAGTAACATAGTCTGAAATGTTTAATATAACAACTCTAGATTAAATATATAGGTGAACAGATTTGGCTCACCATTTGGCAAGAAACTGCTCAGTTTTGCCTCTCTCACCCTTAATTGATGCATAATAAGCAGTTATTAATGATTTATTAAGTGTTTATAGAGGAATTAATAACATATGTAAAATCTATTTATTAGCCATCCATAAGGGGAGCCTTATTGTAAAAAAAAAGACCACCAAGGCCTTTGACATTTTTGGTTTCTGCAGTTGCGTGAAGTGAAACAGTAGATGGAGATGTTCACACATTTTACATTTCGTCTCCCAGAACTCAAGGACAAGTCGAGGATAAAAACGTCTCCTTCAGATCCAGAATGAACTTAATTAAGCTTCCAGAGTGTATCAGTCCACCCAGACAGATTTTCACCCAACATTAAGTCCTCTCTGCCCTTAATCCCCTTTTCTCAGACCACTTTCTCATAATCTCAAACAGAGAAAGGCTTGGATCTCTGCCTCCCCTCCTTACAGTCATATGTTTCCTTGGCCTGCAGATCTGGTGTGTCCCTGGTTATCAGCTATCAATGGGGAGCACATTTCAGCATCCTCACCTCGTCAGCAGTCTGCAGCTGGTCTGCTGACGCTGATAAAATCATTTCACTTAAATCCTCTTTGACTCTCTCACTGCACGTCCAGAGGGCTGCAGAGCAACCAGAGAGGAGCCCCTTGGGTTATGGGTTCTTCTTTAACTTTTCATACATCATACACCAACTGTCAAACTCCCCTTCCAGATCCAGCAGACTTTTTTCAGACTACTCTTTAGGGATTGTTTCTCATGGGTACCACGTAGAGTATTCACCCCTGTTTTTGCTTTTCTTTGACATATTTTAGATCTTAAAACAAATAATATCAGCTGAAAACATGGGCGTCACATTTATTATATGTGAAAGGGACGTGTCCCCCTCACATTTAAGAAAATATTCATTTGCACCCCCCACAATTACATGATATATTAGTTCACCCAGCACTGTTTCTATATCTCCATGAACAAATCCATTCTAATTGCTTAATAGAATACTCAAACCACTAAAGTCCACTCCTGGTTTTCCTGGTTACCTAAAACAACTCGCCACACCACGTACAATGTTTCCCCGAGGTCACTTGCCTTGGCAGTGCGCTCATCTGTTTGGGGTTTTTTGTTGACGGGGCG